GTTGTTCTCCTGACATTCATCTATCGTGACTGGCTCGTCATCAGAGCCCGTAGTGAAGACGCGGCAGTAGTTGTCGACTCCGGCTGTGACGAGTTTCTTTCCGTTGGGTGTGTATGCGAGATAGGTTGCGCCAGGGGCATCTAGAGCTTGAATTAGAATGGTAACTCTGAGGCATGATCGCGGTTTACTTACGGGCCTGTCGAGCGCGAAGGCGCTGTGTGGTAGCCATTGTGGTATGGTGTGATGGTTGCTACTCGGGAGTGCACCGCGTTCCGGTCGACGCGACCGCGTAAAGTGGGTGAGGCTAGCGCGCTTTGAAGACGCCCCCGCCGCCCTCATCATTCCTCCCGTCAACAACATCCGCCATCGTGGACTGTCCTTCGCTTGCAATAATGCGGCTGAGTACATTTTCTTCGTCATCTCTCATACCGAATCCGACCCAGAAATCTACGCGCTCTAGCACGGGAATAGAATCTCGTAACGCCACAATGCACAAGAAAAGACCCGAACAGGCCTGGAGCCTACATCGACGTTAGGTCACCTACTTTGCATGTTTTTATGTTGATGTAGGCTGTAGACCATCTCATGAAATGGAGCATTTTCATAATCGTGTACACTGTAAATAAAATCATCATGACAAACGCCACGCTATGCACCCAAGCCCAGTATCGTCCAAATCAGCGCCAATCATGCATCCACTTTTACTCCTCCCCTAAGCGTCCCTTGGAAATTCGTCTTCCAACCCAATCGTCACCTTGACATTCATGCTACCCAGCTCCTGAATCAGAAGCTTAGCAGCATACGGCATAGTAATCTTGCGAACCGCCTTTTCGCTCTCACAGAGCTTGCAGTAGCCACTGTACCCCATTTGACCACCTATAATCGTCATTAGCAAAGTCCACAGAGAGACCACGAGTAGTAAAGGGAAGAGAGAGAACTTACACTTCTCACAAACATCCACATTATGCGCATCGGAACTAATCATCAACCGCTCAAGCAGCAACTGACTAGCACCATACGCAATCAGACAATCACGTTCCATCTCACCCAGACGCAGTCCACCGTCCCTCGCCCTACCCTCAGTAGGCTGTCGTGTGAGGATAGCGCGCGGACCCCTTGCACGCGAATGCATCTTATCCTGTACCATATGCTTGAGTTTCTGGTAGTAGATCGGGCCGAAGAATGTGTAGAACTGATGGGCCTCTCCTGTGATACCGCTGGTGAGGTAGTCTTTTCCTGTGTAGGAGAAGCCTTTTTCGACGAGGATTTGCGACATGTCTTCGACGGTGGAGCCGCCGAATGCTGTACCGTATTCTAGTGTGCCGTTTAGAACACCGGCTTTGCCTGAGAGGAGTTCCATCATCTTGCCGACTGTCATACGCGAGGGGAATCCGTGGGGGTTCATGATGATGTCGGGGCAGATGCCTTGGTCGTTGAAGGGCATGTCTTCTTGTTGTACGATCAGACCTGTTGTTCCTTTCTGACCGTGGCGAGAGGAGAACTTGTCGCCGAGTTCGGGACGTCGTGTTTGGCGCATGAGGAGCTTGATCAAGGTTGTACCGGCTTCGTTCTCGGTGATGCAGGCTTTGTCGATATAGCTGCAGTCAGGCATCTTGTACTTGTCGGGCTTGTCTTTGTAGACGTTGGTAGCGGGGCCGGCGGTATCTTGGGGGATGGATTTCAGGAGGTAGGCGTCGCCGGCCTCTATCCGTGCTCCGACTTGTGCGATACCGTCTTGTCCAATGGCTTGATGGCTGGTATTATCCACATCGAGAGCGCCGGCGTTGATACGGTCGGAGGTACCGTTAGCATACGTCTTCAGTGGTGTGACGTGCTTCTTCAGAACCTGACAGCGACCGAAGCCGCGATCGCAGGAGGCCTTGTTGAGAATCAGCGCGTCCTCAATATCGTATCCGGAGTAGGACATGACAGCGACGGTTGCGTTTTGACCAGCAGGCAGCTTGTCATATTTAGTGAGTTCAATGGTCCGGGTCTTGACCATGGGCTGCTGTGGGTAGACCATGAGGTATAGCAGTGTGTCTATCCTCTTGAACTGGTTGTAGGCGATCGCTCCAATAGCTTGCTTACCCATAGCGCATTGGTAAGTGTTACGAGGCGATTGGTTGTGATGGGGGTATGGGATGAGACCAGCGACGGCGCCCAGGATGGTGAAGGGCTCGATTTCGAGATGTGTAGTGTATTGGTTGATTTCGCTCTCCTTCAAAGCAATGTTCGTATCGTTTTCTTCGTTGGTATCGAGATACTCCACCAGACCTCTTGTCAGGAAGTCCTCAAACTCCATGGTACCCTTGCGAAGCGCCTTGAGGTAGCGCGAGGTAACCTTGGACCGTTGGTTTTCGACAATGATCATCGGCCGGCAGATTCGACCTTCGTCCGTGGCGATGTGAACTTCGCAGTGGTCGTGATCGATGTGAATGCTAGTGAACTCGGAGATTCGTCCCATTCTCCTGAGTTTCCGGAAGCTGTTGAGGAATCGTTTAGGTGTGTCGGTGACAGCAATAGGTGTACCGTTGAGACACACACTATATACACCGTCTGCGTGGATCTCCTCTCCGGTCTGGAAACAGATATCTTCGGCCCCCAGCATAAACACGATCTTACGCACTGGATCGTCGTCATCTTCGGTTGTGATATGCGTCATGAGCGCCAAGTTCTTGACCAAACCACAAGCTTCACCTTCAGGTGTATCGGAAGTGCACAGCATGCCAAATTGCGAGGGTTGTAGCGCACGGGGACCAGAGACCTTACGCGTCTTTTCGAACTGCGAACTGATTCTCGTCATCATACCCAGCGCCGCAATGTAACTCAGTCTGCTCAGAACGTGAGTAACACCCGCCCTCTCCATCTTGAAACGCTTCAAACTCCAATTTCCAGTCGCAATGGCGCGCTCGACACCCATGGTGATATGGTTCTTGTGTACGCTGAAGTGCGAGAAGGCGTCAAATTCTTGCGCTCGGACAGGTTTCTTCAGTACTTTGTCGATGCTCAACTTGAAGTCGTGGTTGAAGCGCTTGAAGTGATCTTCGAACAAAAGCGACAACATCTGTCCGGACAACTCAAGACGCTTATTTCCAACATAGTCGCGATCGTCTACAAGCTTCGGGTCTTGCATAGCCATCAGAACTCGACGTGCCATGAGAGCCACGTACAGTGCCTTTGGTCGGTAGTTTGTGCCTTCGACTGGGACGTGGGGAAGGACGACGTTGGACAAACACTCGATAGCCTCCAAGTGATAGTTTCGGCTGCGCGAGGTACCGAGCGGCTTCTTCACTAGTCGTACGCGATGGCCGATATACTCAAGCGCTCGCTCCTGGGTGTGTATGCCTTCCTTTGCGCACGCTTCGAAGTTGGCAGCGAAGTTGTCCTGGTACGCGGTATCCTCGCCGGCGATTAAGAGTATGATCTCCTTGTCGGAGTGTACACCCAGTGCCTTCATTACGAACACAATCGGAATCTCCTCGGAGAGTGTGTTGTGGCGAAGGTACATGAGGCCCTTCTTCTGAATGACGTACGTCTTGGTTCGTCTCTCGTGCGTAGAACTCGTAACGCTGGCTTGCATGATGCCCTTGGCACTCTCAACAATGACACGATTCTTGTTCAGCTGCTCTTGAACCAGGATGACCTTCTCTTGCCCTCGGGTGATGAAGTAGCCTCCTGGGTCTAGCGGACACTCGTCCATGACTGCCATTTCGCGATCGTTCTTTCCTGCAAGCACGCACTTGTTGCTTTTCAGCATGATGGGCATGCGTCCAATCTTGATACCCGTCCGCTTGACCTTTGAGTTCCCACGGGTATATATGATGTCCACTACTATCGGCGCCGCGTATGTCATGTCGCGCAATCGGCACTCGTTGGGTGTAATGGTACTGCGGTGGTGGTCGAGGTCATCTTCTTCCTGTCGGTTAGGGGAGAGAACGCGGATGTCGGTGTACTCGAGGAGGAACTTGGGGTCGGTATCGCTGCGGACGAAACGGTTGGCCTTGAGGATTTTCTTGAGTTCCACATCGACGAAGTGGTTGTATGAGTCGACATGCTGCTTGACCAGTCCCTTGGTCTTCAGGAAGGCCGGCAGAAGATTCCACTTATCGCGCGCAGTGTTAATCGGATCGGTCAGACTCTTTCCGTAGTAGAAGGGCTCGAGGAGGGCGGCAAACTCGTCTTTGGCGTGGGTAAGCGGCGCTTTTCGTTTTCGTGTCGCCTCTGCTGATGTGGAAGCGTTGGGATTGAGGTCAGTCGCGTCGTCGCCTGCTGTATTCTGAGGGTTTGCGCCGACAGTGTCTACGTCCATAGCATCGTCAGCTTTCTTTACTGCGGGAGCAGCAGTCGCAGCATTCGCCTTCGCGGCCCCGCGCGGGGCAGCTTCGGGCTTCGCGACTTCCTAAAGGCAAATTAGTCCCTGGTCGCGACAATCATGCGGGACCTCGTACCTTCTTGCCCACCATTTTGTGCGACAGTAGAGCAGTCGGCGAAGGTTGAGGCGGCGGGTGAGTAGGTTAGTTCGACCGACCAGCTGCAGCAAACATTTGGCGTTCGGCGAGTCAGAAGTGAGAATTAATACTGGCCAATCGGTAATCCGCAGTAGTCCCAGCATCCCTGGGTGAGTGACCAACAATCCAGACACCGAGACTCGCGCGAGCGGAAAAGAGAAGGCGCCTACAGCTTACACGAGCATCACGAAAATCTCAAGGTAGTTTCCTTTGTTGTTGTAGAAGTGTCTTGAGAGTCTGCTTTGAATCGTCACATGTAAAGCACAAGTTATCGGCAGACAAAGTTCATGCATTTAGTGATCAGGATTCGGTTGCTACCAATGCTATGCCATTCAACGCCCGCTATGCCACCAGAAAGCTATCTTCCAAGATTCAGATGCAAGCCAAATCGAAACTATCATCTCAAGTCTCCAAGAAACCTCATGCCAAGGAGCCACCAGCCATAAATCACCAGTCGTGTTCTGCAAGATCGTCACCCAGCGAACGCCGGTACTAGAAGGCATCGCTGACATCCGCCTCGCCGTTTATGCTTCGTAATGAACCCTCTGCAAGGTCAACCCTCAGCTGAGCCGTATCCGCCTCGCGTTCAAGACTGTCCCACTCCCTGAGTTTCTGCCTCTTCGCATCTTCCTTCTTATCAATCATCTCTCTCAACTTCTGCGCCTCGGCTTCAAGCTTCAGAATCTTGCTCTTGTCGTACAACTCGGGTGCTCTTTGGCCACCAGGGATCTCCTTGGGGAGGTCGGAGAGATGATCTCGGAAGCGCATCGTACGGGGGTAGGTTGTAGCAGTAGAGTTGTTAGATCCGCGGAATGAGGGAGCAAAGGGTGCTGCTCCGCTAGGTCCGCTGCTGGAACCACGCGGACCGGATGGCGCACCACCGTAGTAACCTCCACCTCGTGGTCCTGCGCCCCAAGATCCTCGTCGGGAAGAAGGCCCCGAAAAGTCTCCTCGTCCTTCATATCCTCCAAAGCCACCGCGGCCACCACCACGCGGTCGTGTCGGCGCTGCTAGAACAGGGTTATTGCCCCGGGGAAAGGAGGGAGCCTGTGGTGTCAAGCTCGAAGGTCCAACTGGAGGGGATATCGCAGGGGAGGGATAGCTCCTGCTGGAAGGTCCTGTTGGTGGGGCTCTGGCAAAGCTGCTGTCGCCGTTGCGGTACGAAGACGACGATGGCCCAGTAGGAGGCGCGAAGTCTCTATCTCCGCGCGGTCCTGTCGGAGGACTGTCGCGTCTACGTGGAGGCGACCGCTCTCGCTCGCGACTGTAGTCTCGTCCTCTATCGGGGAGGCGCTCACGGAAAGGCGATCGTGGTGCTGAGGCGGGCTCTCTGACTGGTCGGTCTTCTACGAGGGCGGCCCGGCTAGGATGGATGGGTGGTGGGGAAGAGCGGCGGGACGTCGCTGTAGAATCTCTACCTGACGCATCGTTGGAAGCATATGCTGGCCGCGCTGGCGAAGGAGACCTGCGACTCCTCCATGTATCCGCAGTGTAAGGGTCGGGGCGCTCGCGTCTTGGAGAGGGTGAGCGGCGTCGGTAGTCGCGCGTATCACGAGTGTCGCGGGCCGGAGAGTATCTGCGGGGAGGGCTTCATATAAGGTCAGCAAATGGCACGTCGCGAGGGGAGACTGAAAGCATACCTATTCACCCGGGAGCGCGGCTCTTCGTACCGGCTCGGACGAACAGGCGATCTTATACCCCGGCTCCTAGCTGGGGAGACATCACGCTCTCTCGGTGGTGGAGACCTTTCGCGTGGTCGTGGGGAGCGAGTATACGAGTCGTACTGATCGCGGTCCCGTCGCGGCAGCGGTGACCTTGCCCTGTAGTCATCACGTCTAGGCTCCTCTCGTCGCGGCGAGAACGCTCGGCGAGGCGGTGATCGTGGGCGTGCCCTCCAGTTGTCGTCGCGACGTGGGCTCCGGGACCGTCTCCGGAAACCAGGCGATCGACTGCGCGGACGCGATGAACGGCCACCAGGAACATATGTATCTGCCGAAGCTATACCGCGACGAATGGGCGAGGCGCGACGAGGAGGAGGCGAAGCCCGGCGGGGAGGAGGTGAACGGGCTCGGTAGCTGTCTCCGCGTGGAGAGCGTGGGCGAGGGCCAGGAGAACGCGGACGGTACGTGTTGGAGTATCTGTCGTCTCTATGGCGGTGTTAGTAGATGCGCCCATAGTAGATGCCGCATGCCTGGGAACATGTTTGCGCATCGGAGCCTAGGCGGCTCTTGGTTTGGAGTCGACAAACCTTCGGTCTCCTCGATCTCGCTCACGATCCCTGTCCATTTCTGCGGCGAGGGTGATGTGCTGTGCTTATCGCAGGTAAACAATACTAAGTGATGTGGTCGTAGCGATTAGTCCGGGTTGATAGCTAACGACTGCGCTTGCTGGGCGGTGGTGGCTGGTCGTGTGTTGGGTCGCAAAAAGAGAAGTTCAGAGCCAAGCCTCCAGCGACTGGACGCGTTCGTAGGTCACGTGCGGGGGAGGCGTGCGAGCACTGGCCGTGGGTCAGTCACATTGCAAACAGCCAACCGTTTGATTCACATTCAACTTGGTCGCCGGATGTGCAATCGGGCAGCCGAGAGAGGGTACTGTATGCGTGTGCGTGGTAGATCCAGATTTCCGTAGGTAGCACCTCAGACAGCATCTGGTGTCTTCCTCCATGCGCTCCTGACATCGCTACATCTTTTCCGTGCCCTTCAAGTGGAAGCCTCAATCTACTCCTCAGTAGCCAAGACATTGCGCGTCTGTTGTCCCAGTCTGATGGCACCACCCCTTGACTCACGTTTTCAGCTATTGTCTTTCACATCCTTTGTCCTGCATGTCGCATCCGTCAAGCCTTTCGTCGACACGAGACATACCACCCCTCCATAGTCAGCATACAATTCTTCCGTCATTCTTGTCCTTGGAAGTGAGAAATTCTTCATCTTGATTATGTTCAACTGCGGTCAACCTTGGCTGCCGCATGTAACGCCGTATCCCAATGCTGAATGTGCCGAAGCCCTACTGACCATTGACATCCGTGACGCCGGCTCGCTGACAGAGCTCTTGAAAAATGCAATCCGTAATCTTTTGTACAAAACACATGTCCTTTGCGGACTCTTGACCAACAGACCTAGCGCCTGGTCTTTCGCTCGTCCTCCCGCTTCGCGCGCTTCCTGCTCTCCTGGTTGATCATGTCCGCCAAATCATCTTGATCGATACTCTGCCATTGGCCTTGCGCTTCGGCTCTTTGCCTTGACTCATACTCTTTCTTCAGTGCGTCCTTGTCAAGCTTGTCACTATCTGCCAACTGGTCGACATCAACCGACACGTCGATGTCTCCAGCCTTGCGCTTCCTTTGTGCGTGTCCAAGCGCATCGCGCCTAGCCGCATCTAGGTCATAAGCGTGCTCGCCGCCAAAGAAACCAGTTGCCGAGATGTTCTTCTCGGGAAGCACTGTACCGGCGCTGCGTGGTACACCCGGCTCTTCAGTCTCGATTCCTTTCCGCTGCTTCCGGAGCTGGAACTCTCCACCGATGCTCTCTGCTCCTCCAATCTCGGATGGCATGGCAGATGCTGTTGTCATCGATGTCTGGATGCCGCTCGCGTCTTCGTCGCCCCCCTCCTCGTCATCTTCGTCTTCCTCCTCTTCTTCGTCGCTCTCCTCGTCTTCGCTCTCACCCTCAGCTCGTAGTGCTCCCCAGATACCACGCTCTACAGGCTCGCCGACATGAGTAGGCTGTTGTTGCTCTTCCAGTATGGCTGTTCCATACAGATCGCCCCCAAATTGTGGCTTGCCAGCGTCGTCGATCGGGGGTTTACCCCACTGGCCAGGCTGGAAGCCCCAGGAGGAACCAGGAGGGATCGGAGCGTTTACACCAGGGACGCGCATGTTCGGGTAGGATGGAGGAGGGCCGAAGCGCTGCATGTTGATGAGCCAAGGGGGTGGATGGCCTGGCATCATTCCGAGAGCCTCGCGGAGTTCCTCGCTCAGCTCGCCAGGCTTGAGGTTCACGAGGTTGGTCTCGAACTCCTTGCCCTCGTAATAGACCTCGCCGTACCGCGTCAACTCTGGTTTCGTCTGTCGCCTGAAGAAGGCATCGTATAGTTTTGCGTAGTCGATGTCGAGCTTGCCGAGCTTTCCTTGGACGCGCTCTCGCTGCTTTTGCCTCATCGTCATGTCTGCTTGCTTTTCCAGTACTGCATCACGCATCTCTGCGATACCAGTTTCCTGGATGAACTTGGGTAGGGCGAACGGAGGTTTCTCGATACCGCGTTTCGATGAGAGGTACTCGCGCTTGAGCGACCAGTGGGTCGGGACGGGAATGACGTTCTTCGCTCCCTTGATGGAGATGAGCAGCTGTGGATTTGAGGATGACACATCTGTCCACTCGACCAACTCAGGCCGGGGGACCAGTGACTTCAGTTGCGCGACCGACAACTTGTTCATCTGCTTCCGCTGCTTCTTGGAGAGCTTGGGCTTGCCATCGTCCTCGTCCTCGCTGGGAATATCGTCGTCGGAGAGATAGATTTCTGGCTTCTCCTCGTCCTTGGTCGCCGCTTCCTCCTCGGTCGGCTCTCTGAACTTCTCGAAGACGCTCTTGTATTCCTCAAACGCGGGGTCGTCGAGGTCGTACTGGTTCGCGATGTCGTCAACGGTGAGAAGGTTCGCGGGCTTGACCGCCTGTGCTTCGTTATTGCTGTCGCTTTCGGGTGCGGGAGATTCGCTCTCACGCGCAGAGTCAGCGGCCTCTGACGGTGTCTCCTGTATGGCTATCAGTATAATGTATTGCGACGCGCGTGGTTTGCTTACAGAGCGCTGTTGCTTCTTCTTCGCCCGGCGATAGGCGTTCTTGTTCACCTGCTTCTTGCCCTTTGCGACTGCGCCTGACATGGCGGCGGTGATTGCGCGGCGCGACACTGGAACTTGAGATGTTTGATGATACGCGCGGCCCGGTCCGTGTATATGATCGCGCGATGTGGGTGGGTGCAAGGTGATGCGCGACAGGTCGGAGTCGAGGTGGAAGTTGCTGAGCTCGCGCCGAAAGATTGAGAGCCTGTCTTGGCGCTAACGGGGTCGCCCCAGCCCTAGCAGTTGTATTCACCCACGCCGGAACTTCAGAGGCAATCATTGAAGAACATCAAACAAGCCCAATAAATTTTTGTTGACAAAGGATATATGATTCTATACTCATGGTCTGCTACATTAGACATGACTCACGTGTTGCTTCATACAGCTGCTACACTAAGACCGATCATCGTCCTTGAAGATGTGTCCCCAGAATCCGCGGAAATGCTTCTTCTGTCCAATCTCATTCATATCCTTGATCTCCTTAGGCGTCAGCTTGAACGTGTTCGCCCTCAAGTAATCACTCAGCCTCTGCTCCTTTCCACTCGTCGTAATCGGCACAATATCCTGGTCCATGCACCACCTAAGGTAGATCTCGTTCTCGCCCACAGCATACTTCTTCGTCAGTGCCCCCACGTAGTCATCTAGAGGACCGGGCTTGGCTTTCGTGGCAGGAGTGAGAGGCGCATAGGCGACTGTGGCAATGTTGTTCTGCTTGTGGAATTCGAGGAGTTCTGGCCTTTGCAGGTAGGGGTGGAGCTCGATCTGGTTGCATACTGGCTTGACTTTCGCGGTCTTCAGGGTGGCGGCGAGATGGTTAGGGAGATAGTTGGAGACGCCGATGGACTTTGCGAGACCGGATGCTTGAACGGCTTCCATGTCGGCCCATGCTTTCTGGAGGTCTTCGTCTGAGCCTGCAAACCACGGCTGGTGGATG